CTTGCGAAAGTGCTGCGCCAGACACGAAATCTGAACTGGACCCTGTGAAGGTGCTGCGCCTGCCACGAAATCTGTACCTGACCTTGCGAAAGCGCTGCGCCTGCCACGACACCTGCACCTGACCTTGAGAAAGAGCTTGCGTGCCAGTGATTTGCTTGCATTTTCAAAGGTGGGGATCACTCGAAGTAAAGTAATTTGAGTTTTCCAGTCCTTTTGTGTTTGACCCCAACAAACCGTAAGGAACCGCAGACGGCGACGTTCTGATTGCGGCTCAGGTGTGCCGTGTGCGGTGTGGACCGCATCGTGGGCCCACGCTTTCGGTGCATCCATTGCCCCAGCTTCAGCGTGTGCCCGGACGCCCAGAGGGAGTCGGGAGAATGGATATGCCCAGTGTCCTGTTTTTGGGCGAGCCTGGGGAACCCCAAAAAAGGGTGGTGTTCTTTTTCGCAGGCCTTGAAAACCAACAAAAAGGGGATATTAAAAAGAAAAACACTCCTATGTGGTGTTCCAAATCTTGTTTCGGGTTTTTGGATGTGCGGATGGACAAAATCTACTTCGCATCCGTTGGGATTGCTGGTTTGTCGGCGAGTTTCCACTGCTGCAGGTATTTGAGTTTTCTCGGTTGCCCAGTGCGAACCAACCTTTGACTTTTGGTTATGCGATTGCAGCGAATCAGTTTTGACAGATTGTACATGATGGTTTTCGCCGTTGCCTTCTATAGAAGTGGATGCGTAGTTCTCTTTCAAGTGAACCCACATACCCCAGAAAGTCAAGTTCATTCTTCCGGCCCAGAAGCGATGGCAGTACAAGCCTATAGGAGTACTTTCATCCAAATGTGTAGTTGCTGTTTTACTGTCAAACCCATTGCATAGCAAGCCCAACAAATCCATGACCTGACCATTCTTGGCATCCACTCGTACTATCAATGACGAGCCACCACATCCATCCAGCTTTCTATAGTGGTCACTTACATCGCCATTGGGGTTCCACAATCTTGCCTACCAAGTATCCATGCTTGTTGTTGGGAAACATTTTACATTTTTGCTTATTGTGGTTTAGTGGTTGAAATCCAACCACTTAGCTGCTAAAATTGACAAATGCTCCCCCTCCAACGTCTACCAAGTATCCTCGATGGTGTGTCTCCGGGTTCCGGAAATTCCCCCCAGCAAATGGCCTTCCATGCCGGGTAAAATACGGCACAGGAACTCGGCTCCAAAAGATAGACGAGTCATATGGCAGTGGCTCAAAATTAAAGAGCTAGGGTTACGCAGGTTTTGGTCCATGTTTCCACCCACCAGGGTTCCATTTTGGTACCGTTTTTTTGAGCCATACCCATATGTGGCTCAAAATTCAGCGATCGGGGCAAGCCGCAGGGTTTGGTCCATGTTTGCACTTACCGATCGGGCAAGCCATTTTTGTTTGAATTCGCCACAGCCATACATCTGATAGCATGTCGTTGGAGACTTTTCGATGTGTTCCCTGGCCTGATGGCTAAAGGAAACGGTTATGGGGGAAACCAGCACTTGACAAATCTGTGCTTCTGAAAAGCTGAGGTCAGAAGTGTGAGCCCAAGTTGGAGCATGCGGAAGGAGCGGTCGGAGTGCGGCTCAGTCGCTATCGCCACTTTAATCCATGGCTGTAGGAGATGCTTGTCTTTGTCACTTTTAGGGGAGGGAGCCCTTATTTCATCTGGGGTTCTTGACAAGCAAAACATGTTTCTCTTAAACACGTGCCAAATCACCACACGAAGTACTGGCCTGAAACCCATTGACTGTTGGTTCAAACGTGGTCCTGAAGGCTTACCCTTCCTCCCACTTAAAGCACCTGTACGAGGGCGTCTGGACATATCAGCTTTCTTTCCTCGTCCGGCAATTCACCCTCGAAAGTGAGTGTGACAGCGTGTGAATCCGGAACCCCAAAGATGGTATTTTCTTGTATTACCCTTTCATCCGGGGCATCAAAAGCTAGCCCGTGGCTGCCCTGATTAAGACACCAGCGGAATCTCTGTGTCTTTGAGCCAAGGGAAAATATTGTCCACCAGACTGGAAACCATACCCCAGGCAAACCCAGGAGTTCATCACGTGTAAAATCTGCGGAGGGATACTTATGTGCCTTGGTTTGTTCCTGTGCGGTGGAGATGGTCTTTTTTTACAGCTCACAACTTTTGACTATGGCACGTGGGACCCCCGATTGAGGAGCTCTGTAGATAGGGGCAAAAAAAGAAGGAGGCCACAAGGGAAATGATGGTTTTAGAAGGTCCCGATTGTGGGACACTTGCAAACCATGTTGTGGCTCAACTTTGACCAGTAGCGCCTTGGATATCAAGACTACACCAAGCTTCCATTTGCTTAAGAATGTGTTTTATTTTCCCTTGTTGGCTTTCAAGGGGATCTATAACTACTGGAAGTTGTTTGTTCATGGGACTTATTCAAATCCAAGCAGATGACAGGAAGATCTTTGAGGCAGCTTTTTACACGACGGTCAACATCAATGCGATGGAGAAGTTGGATCTGAAGAAGGCATTTCATGATTTGTCCATGGCGGAGTTGAACAATTTGAAGGAGTACCTGGAACATGACAAACATAAGGCCATCAATGCATCTGAAGTTGTTGAGCGTTTGCCAGCATTCTCACCTCTGTCTTCAGCTCAGAAGGTGTCATCAGCAATGGAAGAGTTGCGTGAAATGCTTACGTCCATTGACACCGACTACACCAAGGATGGTGGCGACTATGAATCAACAAGCTGCTTGTTGAAGACCGAAGCCAGCCGAAACAACCCAACGGCACATTGGGAGTGTTGTCAAAAAAGAGCACCCTTTGCGGGCCATGATTTATGTGGGGCCAGCCTTTAAAAGGTGTCCTTTAGATCAGCTTGAGTGAACAAAATGGGTCCGGATTGTTCTGGTTTCAGGTTGGTTCCAATCTACCAGTGGAATCCATCCCTTCCCAGCACATGGCCAGAACTTGTGTTTTCTTTTCCAGCGAGAAAAGTGTTCGACCAGAGATACTCAGGCAACCCTTCATTCCTTGTTTGGATTGGTGGTTTGGGGATTTGAACATGTGGTTCTTGTAGAGGGTAAATGGGACACCACCCCTTAACCACAAAAAACCCACCAATTCAGTGGGTGTCCCTTGTTCTCTGCTTTTGGTTACCTGGCGTTTACGCTGCTTTTCCCTACGGATTCCCAATAAAATGAAAGCGGGCCCCTTAAGGGGGGAGGGTTAGGGTAGAAGAGATCATGTTGCAAGTTCTGTTTGATAAAATCTGACCTCCTACGCAAGGCAAAAACAGATGCTTTTTTCGAGCCTTCGTTCTAGTCCATTTGCTTGGAGCTCTCCCCTGTCCCAGAGAGAAGCCCTTGGCCAGGACATGTCTTTGAGATCATGTTCGAGGACGACTTGGATTGGGAAAAGCCGCTGGGATGCAATGCCAAACTTCGGCGCAGGCCAAGCCGCAGCTCTTGGCTCATGTGTTTTGTGGTGTTCCATATTTTTGTGTTGGGGGTTTCCTCTTGTTGAGCTTGTGGTGTTGACTCTAGCGGTCACTGTTCTGTGTATGCCTTTTGTTAGCCCGCCCCTCAGGCTAAGCGGGAAGAACAAAGCAGCAGCTTAATTGTTCTACCTGTCGAGTTCACTTCGGCCGGAGCCATCTCACCCATGAAGGCCCTTTGGGATCGCACACATCTCCAGTTTGCGAATTGCAAGTGATGTGTGCGAAACAAAAAAACTCTAAACACTATATATATATATAGATATGTGAATTGCAATCATGTTTGTCGCCTTGGACTATGCGCGCGGCCACGGACCCAATTGTTTCTTGGAAGTGATTTGCCAGCCCCTGAAAATCTCTACTTGGAAGGACCCGGCCACTGAACCAGGGGTTGTTTGGCCCCCCCTGTATTGGCCAATGGGGGGGGGGGCGAAAGACCGATTCCATCTTAAACAAGAAACGCACGCAGAGTCTGGGACAGCAGTATGAAACATGAATCTTTTGTTTGTCGGCCCAAGTTGGGAGAACCAAAACATTAAGTCCTTTTAACGGGAAGCCAAAAGGCAACGGTTGGGGCCCCATTGAGACAAAGCCACCCGCCCGTGCGGCGCCCGAGGGTAGACGTCCAGCTGCCCAAGGGCATCCGCGCACGTCTGCGGAAGCGAGCTCAGTCCAAGGAGCGAAACCCAGGTTTCCAGTGAACAGCAAACAAAGGTGAAACCACCCACGGTTTCGTGGCACTGGACACTTTTTTTAGCGCCTTTTTTTTCATGGGTTGTTTCACCTTTGTTTGTTGTTGTTGTTTTTTTTGTCCCAGCCGGGGGGGGGGGGAGGGGGTCCCTTGTTTCATGGGTTGTTGTTGGGAAACAGCTTCTTCTTTCTTTTTCTTTTTTTACATTGTTGCATCTTGTGGTTTAGTGGGGATTTTTGAACTGCTCAAATTGAAGAATTGTTGCTCCCCTTCCAACGTCAACCAAGGTTTGCCGGTTGTTTAACCTATGCTTGTTTTTGTTTGACTTTTTCCGGGCGGTGGGGGGGACCAAGAAAAAGAGAGTGCCGTTCAGCCAAACATCAGGGTAGAAATATGAATAGACTTATGGAACCCCGTGACCGATATGATGTACCAATTTTCGCAGCCCTTGAGAGAAGTATTTGCCCTTGGCTCCTTGGGTTTCCGGTTTGCGTGGTTCAGACGGATCCACATCGAGTGAGTCCCATTGGTCTGCCGGACCTTCCTGAGGCAGAGCGTAGAGCGCAAGCCCTGTGTTGGTAGTCTCAGCACTCCTTTGAGAAAACGGCAGCACCAAAGGTTTTGGCCCCGCTGATATGTCCAAACACACATGAGTTGTGTAGGATTGACCAACCTGCTATTTTGGACAGCGCATTGTTTCTGCATGGCCCAAGATGTCAGGCAGCCTACGTCAACTTGTCAAATCACGTTTTGTTGAATGCCCTTGAAAGGCGACAACATGTCACATTTCCAGAACCAGCCGAGAAAAACAACACCAGTTGTGCTGGTCGGTCAGCGATTTGAAGAGTGCCGGCGCCATGGTTTGCGTACGCCTGTCCAGTGGCCGGGAGCTCATCACAGCAGAGGAGCCTTCTCAACTCTCGGAACGGAAGCCCAAGATCGAAAGGTCCCCCAAAAGAAACTGTAACTTCTAATGTTAACCCCGGATTAATAAACCCCTGGTTGATTAATAGGGGGGTGTCCCCTTTTAGTGGGGATTCATCACTTTTGGAGGGAACACCCCCCTAGTAGTGGGACGGGTTTATTAATCCTGGGTCAACATTACTTGCTTTCCTGTTGGGTACCTTTCCATCTTTTGGGAGAATAGGTGCAGTTTCTTTTTTCACTGTTGCACTGAATAGTTTGTTTCCCTGTTGGTTTTCCAGGGAATCTATTACTACACATATGCGTATACATGTATTTCTATTTCCAGGGGACTTCGAACATGATGCGTCAGGAAAGGTCTCCAACAGGTTCCCAAAAGGTCCTGCAGCAACAGATTGCAAGCATGGCGGCGTTTCTTGCGTGTCATCCGCAACTGTTTGGAACCCTCAGGTTTGGAACACAGATTCCTCCAGCCCCGGAAGCCGAAGCTGACGGGTCCCGTTTAGTCCGGATCACGTTTGTGGGTGACACCCGCTCCTCTTTTCGCTTTTCTTGATCCATGGTCAACGTGAACTTTTGTTGTAAACGCTTCGCGTTGCCCGCCTCGGCCAGTCCGCTTTTGGCTGGCTTGGAGGTTTTCACCGTGCTTTAGTTTGCCTTGAAGTCTTGTGTTTACTAGAGTGAGTGAGTCGGCGCAGGGTGGGCGCGATTCCACTGGCTTCCAGGGCCTGAACGACTGTTTTGAGAGGGGGCTTGACAAGGTTTCTAGAAGGAGGTTGACCGGTTTCTACTGTTTTTTGGCGGGGAATTGATTGGTTTCTGAAGGAGACTTTGACCGGTTTTAAGGGGAATTTGGCCGGCTTCCAGGCAGATTTGACCGGAGTTGGACCAGCTTTGAGAGGAGGAAGTTGACCGGTTTCTAGCGGGATCTGACCGGTTTCTAGCAGCGGTCTTTGCAGGGATTTGACTGGCTTCTGGGAAGTTGACCGGCTTCTATCGGCTTCCAGAAGGGGATTTGATTAGTTTTTGCCGGCTGGGGGCCGGCTAGCTGGAGCAGGATTTTGCATGATGTTGTCTCTACAGGTCACCTTCCGGCGGGTTGCTGTGGAACAGGAATATAGGGAACCCTGTACTGGTTGGACAAGTCTATCGAACAATCTCAATGGCATGATACCCTTTGTCCCAACAGAAAGGGACTCTGACAAAGAACCAACAGCCCATCAGAAACCCGGACTGCCTGCAAAACACTCCAAGGTAATCTTTCTTCCTGGGTATGAAAAGGCAAACTCCTGAGCCCAAGAAAACCTTGCAAAACCCCAAAAAAACCCTTGGGCCTTCCAAGTTTGCAAGTCACGTTTCGTCAGAGACTTATAGTAATTTCATGGTTTGCCCAAGTTTGTTCTTCCAGATAAGTTGTTGGCAACTTGGGTGAAAACCCTTTGATATGTCACTCGTTCATTGGAGTTCACCCTGTTAGTATTTGCGGCTTTCTCGTCGAACTCGGCCAAAAACACCCCGGTTTGGTGGGTTTTGGTGGGTTTCTTAGCGGACCCCCGTTTTGAGCCCCCTATATTTTGGGATACCAAGCGGAAACTACTCTGAAAACGCATAGGTGACCATTCTGAGAACTCCCAAAACCATAGACCGAGGGGTCTACGGGGGGGGGCTATCCTTTATCAACCCGTTCAGGCTTCAGGCTTCAGGGCTTATCCTTGGCAGTTGAATCGATCCCAGGAGTTCGCCAAGTGGTGGGAAGACGAGGACCAGGGCGAGCTTCGAAGTGGCTGCTTCCACGATGCGCTGAGGCGGGGGGGGTTGTTTCCGGTGGACCGGGCGGTGGCGTGCCTGAGCTCCCATTTCAAATTTTGTCTGTTTTGGTTGGAGGCGGACATTCGTTACAGACCTCGTTGCAGACCTCTGTAACAAGACCCGCTGGCGTGTTACACACCCCTCGTTGCACACCCCCGTTACACACCTCAGATGAACAAACCGCTTGGCTGATTGCATGCCGCTCGTCACATACCCCAATGCATGCACAGACTCAGTGATGCCCCATGGGTGCCTGTGGGGCAGAATTTTGCAGGGCATGCTTTCGCTGAAGAGTCAACTTGCAGAGAGCTTACCATTCAGATAAAAAGTTGCAACAGGGGCCGCTATACCTCGTTGCACACCTGGTTACATATTTAGACCCAAGCCCCCCTTTTTGCAGCAGCTTGGCTTGCGTTGAACAGCTGCAATCAAGGTGGAGCTGCAGAGGCGCGTTTTGCTTTTGCCTTGTTACAGACCTGGTCCCGTAGCCGCTACATGCCTTGTTACAGACCTAACCCCAGCCACCTCCCTTTTTTTTGCCGCAGCTTGGCTTTGCGTGGAATAGCTGCAATCAAGCTGCAGCTGCGGAGGCGCGCTTTGCGTACTGCGCCGTGCTTTGCCTTGTTACAGACCTCGTTACATCTGTGTACATACCTCGTTACAGACCCAACCCAAACCCGGGCCAGTGACCCCACTTTTTGCCATCGCTTGGCTTGGCGTCGGCAGTTGCAAATTTCAATCTGGAGCTGCGGAGGCGTGCTTCACTTGCACTCAACAGTTGCGGCTTTCGAGCGGGAGCTGCTGCTCTTCGTAGTTCTGCGTTACATTGTGCTAATGCTACTGGAGCTTGTCAAGGATTGTTTTGATGTTACAGACCTGAGTAATAATGACCTGTGTTACAGACCTCCGCAACAAGATTCGTGGCGCGTCGCGCATTACACACCCTCACAAAAAGTCATAACCATATGGTCCTGTCTTTGTTAGAGGCCTCCATTCTAGGGTTGGTTTGAAGGGAAAAGAAAAAAGGAAACCATCACTGATTCAGAGCCATGAGGGGAGACTGGCTATTGGAGGTCCTGTTTGGTTCAAATTCGGTATTCGGGCATTACTCTGGCTTTGTTGTGGGGGGCTCACTTGCAACTAAAACGAGCGCAGCATGATTTAGGTTGACTTGGGGATCCAAATCGTATTCCAGGTTTTGGAAGCATTGTAGAACGTGCAGAAACCTTTGAAACCAAGTACCAAGGCCCGGTGGTTTCCCATTGATTGAACTCCTGTACTCGGGTTGCTTTGGCACACCTGGGGATCCAAGCCAACTCGGGTCAACGCTTCTCAGCCAGCACGGTCGAAACATCTACCTTTTGACTGCCTCCATTTGCTTATTATTTTTTTTTATAATTTTCCCTTGTTGGTTTTAAAAGGAATCCATCACTACTGAAATCTTTTTCCTGGGGCCTTAACCACATGGAAGGCTGCTAATTGGATCCGCACAAAGCCTTTTGGAAATGCGTGTGTGTGCACACTTGTCTGCACAGGAGTGACAGGGGGCAATAGCCAGCCACGCTACCAAGAATTTGGGGAGGGGCATTGGGAGATTCAGGTTTTGTCCAATGCCCACATCCGGGGCCAAAACTCAGATGCGTATTTTGCCCGTTTTGGCCCCATGGCAACCCAATTCTCCTCGTTTTTCAAGTTAGTATCCTTGTGACAATGGTCAGTTCCCCACCGGTCCGAGATCCGTCCTTTTCCGAGTTATTTTTTGGTTGAAACGCATTCCATAGGAGGGTTGGCGCACTTGTTCCCAAAGAATTTGCCAAAGGTCGGACAGGTCATGCCAGTATTGTTTCCCCTGACAACCTCTCAAACAAAGGGCATAACATCGACTCAGAGGGGTGTTATTTTGAATAGAGGACTCTTTGATGCACTTGGTGGGGACTCATGTCCACCGCTTTTTGAGGTGGTTACTCTGAGTCAATTGCCCCAAGGCCTGGCTGCTCGCATCAAATCTGCATAGTTTATGGCGAGCTCACCGTAAAACGAGCTCACAGTGGCAAAGATCCTTTACTGGGGATCCCTTATCTTGCTGGTGCTCAGCAGGGAATGAGAGAATGAACCCAGGAGTCCCCTTAAAGGAAACCACCAGTTGGATGGTTTATAAGGGGTCAATTCCATTTCTCCTTCCCTGCCTATTGCACCAGCAGGATAAGGCGCTACATTCTGAGACTCAGATGGGGTTTGATCAAAAGGTCCGACATACATGGGGTGACCAAACGACAAGAAACCACAAAAAAGATAGGACGTTCACTACATGTCAGGTTTTTTTAGGGTGTTTTTTCCTTTAATGAATCCCCAGGTTCATTCCCACATTCACCAAGCATCAGCAAGTTATTTCAGGTTTTGGACATAATGACATAGCATGTGCAGACTCAGACGTCCGAGGCGGGAGCTCGCCAGACGCCTGGAGCTCAGCAACTTCCGCCAGCTCCAGTTGGCCAAGGGCGAGAAAGTGCTGGGCCCCGACAGCCCCTGGAGCTCCAAAGAAGAAGCGCAAGGCCGGGACGTGACGCGTCCCAACTTGTTTGGTAAGGCCACGCTTTTGGGAGGGGGGAGGAAGGGAAGAGAACAGTTTTGTTTTTTTTGGGGGGGAGGGCGGAAGGGGGAAAGGGAAGCAAATAAAATAACATCGGCATTGGACCCTCCCCCTTGCAGTCAGACCCATATTTTTCAAAGGTGGTTGCGGGGGGGGGGGGTTAAAGGGGAATCAAGAAGAAAAGCGCACGTTTCTCGGCATTGGAGCCTCAGCCTATTTGGAGTGAGACCCATAGTTCCCCCTTTGGGTAGTTTGAAACATCACGGTTGGAAAGGCCATGTTGAGATTTTAGTTTCCTCTTGGTGCGCAATTCTTCTAGTTTTGTTCCTTCCTTTCGGCTCCCCTTTAGTACATCGCTCCGAAAGGGGCGGCCTGAAACAAGAAAACTTGGGATGTAGGAGGAAGTATCCTTACCCTCCGAAACACCTGAACTGGTGGATTTGTTTGTCGCGGGATAGACCCTGGTTCTGTCTCATCTTTTGGGGGGAACCAGACATGACCGTTGGAACGTCTCCATAGCCCCCGTAGCCCCTTGGCTGGAGGCCGAACGCCGTTCTGAAAGCCAACCCTATGCCCCAAAGATGGCGGCCGGAATTGTAGAGATGATTTTGGGGTTGGGGCAACAGACGCGGCACTTGGGTGTTCTGCCAAGTGGTTAGCCGCCATTGTAGCCCACGAATAGGTCTCGGGGGGACTTGGTATCTGCAAGCAGGAGTTTTCGTAAGTTGCTGGTTCCCTCGTAGCCTTCCAGCACTAACATGGAACCTGATTGGGGGCTGGGCCAAGTTTTCCTCGTTGATTGGAACCCAGTAGGTTCCATCTGGTTTGAAGAGGCAAGGAATTGGTCCCATTCTAGGCCCCGACACCTTGGTGGCCATTGTGCGCCCCTACTTGGCCGCAGACGATCCCAGGCGAGTGCGACTGTCGAGTTACTAAAAGAGCCCGTTGATCCATGTTATTTTGTTTGCCGGTTTTTGGGGACGGATCGCAAGGCAGGCTTTGGTAATCAATTTCACCACGACACAACGGATCGCACATGGATCGACAAACAATTTGGAGGTCCCATGCAGCCAGGTGGCCGTGGGTCAAAACCAATGGTACCATCTTGGGGTAGGTGCACCACCCATTTTAGTCGATTTTAGTTTGGATTGGGATGTTCACTGGGGGTACGGGATTTTGACCCATGGCCAAGTATGAGTGCATTCAAGCTCAGTCTCTTGGGGTGCAACTTGAAGCTTGCCACCTGCGCAGATCCCTCATCTTAATGCAGGACGGATGAAACCCTTCCTGGTGCACAGCAAATGTCCATTTCTGCCAAAGGAATCGCCTGTGAACTCTTTTTGATCTAATCGAAGCCACGACCTGAACCCATGGGCTGCATGGTTTTAGCTTGCCACTTGAGTGGCCCTTTGGGAATTCCCGAGCAACTTGTTTGGATATGTTGTTCCCCCAAAACAAGGTTGTTGTTGGGAAACATTTTACATGGTTGCTTATTGTGGTTTAGTGGGAATCTTCCTTAACTGCTAAACTTGTTTTTTGTGCTCCCCTTCCAACGTCAACCAGGAAAGGGACGGAAACCATACATACATACATATATATATATATATATAATTCCCAGTACTACCTGGTCCTAGACCCATAGCTGGGGGCTGTGTGTTCCCCTTTGATTTGTGTAGGGATGCTCATGGATCCGACATGCGCGTGAAGGTTCCATAGTAATCCGAGTGATCCCCCTAACATGAATTGATTCTCCACTACCCCCTCCTCTCTCGGAATGAAGCCGAAGTCCACATTGGCCACTGACAAAGTATAGGCATGGGGATAGGAACTCCACTTTTGCATCAGAAAAAGTACCTATTTTCTCTGCACATGTTTGGATATGGTGGCCATTGAGAGGACACATGTTCGCTTCCTGTTCTCATGGGTGGTTTCAAGTTTGCTTCTTTGGATCTGAATTTCATTCTTTTGTGGCAGGGGGCAACAGAAGCAGGAATTCTACTTGGAGCCCAGTGAAAGGAGCTGGGGGTCTTCCCCAAAGAGTTGCCTTTTCCTCGATCGGATCTCCATGCGGCGAACCCCGCTGAGCTTCGAGGGCGTGCCGGGATAGGAAGCCCCAAGCCAAAAACTCGAAAGCTTTCGGGGGGTTCCTCTCCCACCCCTCAACTGACACGGCAAGAACGCAGGTGTTTGGAGGGGTGGCTGGTCATGTCTGGTTTGCGGAATTTACATGTTCTGCGTTGCTTGCCGGGTGTTTTTCCGTCTTGAACAGACTCGCGTTTGGCTCAGGCATAGCCTGCTGTTCCAAAGCGCCAAGAGCGGCGACTTGGAGAAGCTGGTGCGGCTTCTGGAAGAGCTGCTCGACCAAAACCTCGTACGTGGGTTGCCTTAGTGGACATATGTCTGACTTGGGGGTCATGCAAGTGGCGGGTTCCCTGCTCAGCGAAACCCCGGCCACGCGGTTCCTAGAGTTTAGTGGGATTCATCACGTCGTCAAAGTATGGCCTCCTTTTGGACCGTGGTGCCGCCTTGCACCTTTTGAAGGGGGTACCGGGTACCAAACAAGGGCCCCAAAAAATCCAACATATCTAATTTCAGGCTACCCTTTTCAGGTTGGTTTGGGGCAGCAAAAAAGGACAGATTTACAACCTTTCTGGCGCACGCCGATTCTGTTCTGACACACACCCTGATTGACCTCAACAATTTTTGAAAGCCAAAGAACAATGCGTCCGGATTGACGAGCCTGGTTTTCTGGTCAGTCCTTGACCCTCGAATGTTTGTGGTTTACGGCCGGTGTTGATTCGCACCCTAGGCGAGATGAAACAAGGGAAGTTCAAGCTCTGAGATATGAAGGGAAGAGTGGCCAATTGCAGGGGTGAAGCCCTGAGTGAAGCTAAAAGCCGAAAGAGACCAATCGAGCCACAAGAGTGAAACGCCCTACAATGCGATGCAGACTAAAACCAAGCAAGTAAAGACGGGGTTTTGTTGGGTCGATAACAACTGCTTTCCGGCCAGGAAGGACTCACAAGGTTTGCACCAGCCATTCTTGTGGACTGGGCTTCAGGTGGCCATTTTCTGCGATAGCAAGGAGCCTTGAAAATGCCACACTGGCTTCAGAGATGACACCTCCCACACTGTCAAAGCAAGGATTATGTCAAAATCAATCAGGCTTCAACCCACAATTGAATTAGTGGCTGGCCCAATTTAGAAGATGATACTTGCTTGGTGCAAGTTGGTGGTTATATGAACCCCTTTCAGTTGCTGAAATGGATATTCTATGTTGTTTGTTTCTCCTGGATTGAAAGGGAATCTGCTGTGGATGGACGCACACCTACAGGTGGTTTACCCGTCCCAATACTTTACAAGGCTTCATCCATCCCAATTGCTGAAAATCGGATTTTGCCTACATGGCACATACTCCTGCAGGACCAAATCGAATTGTTATTTTGGTTATGACCCCTTTGATTTTGTGGGAATCTCACTTGCCAAGTTCCTGGACTTGAGTCACCTTTTGGGAAGACCATGTTAGTGGTAAACAAGAAGTTCGGGCTTTTTCTTTCTGGCCCATCAACTCGGGATGTGACTGAACCCAATTTTGAAGGGCATGGTGGGTCCTTCAGTCGTGCCCTTTTCTCACCCTTTTTTGGGGGAGGGTTGCCCCTACTAAACTAGACTACCGAAAAAAAGTTGGTAGCCTTATTCTAACCTCTCAAATCTGGACCTAGTCTCCCTCTGACTGACATGGAAGCTCCCAGAAAAACTCGGGCTGCGGCTCGAGGCCCTGTGACCCCAACGCCGTGAAGACTTCAACGGACTCCCTGGCCCTGCACGAAGCCGCGGAGCAAGGCTCAAAGGGCTCGGGAATCAGGAAGTTCTAGAGGAGATTTAAGGCGGTTTTGGTCAAACAAACTGAGTTGGGTAACATGAGTTTGTGCCAATTTTGTTTCCCCTCACCGACCCAGAAAGGGTACCTCGACATACCCCGCAAATGGGTTTGTTGCGTCTCAGTTTCCCTGAAAAGTCATGTTATTACAGAATAATAATGGAAGGTTTGCAGGGAGGTCCAGCGGTTTTCCTCACTCATGGGGAGGGGGGGGGGGATTTGGACACGCACATCCATGTCTTCGAAGGTTTCAGGAAGTTGAGTCAGGTAGTCTTCACTGTTGCTTTGAAAGGCGGCAGACTGTGCCCCGCTAGCTCCAGCGGATGCAATTGGAGCTGAATGTCTTCTATGGTCAATTTGGGTGCCCGTCACCAAGGTTTCACGCAACTTTCAGCCATTTTCACCACCCCAGAGCCTATCTGATTTTGGGCAGAGACCCCATAGCTTTCAGCTGTTGGGGAGAAAGCAGGGGGATTCTCATCTTCCAACGAGCGGTAGTCACGAAATTTGAGCCACACACCAGAGAAAGAACAATTAAAACTACACCAGCGTAGACCCCAGATAGCGAAACACTCGCTAACGACTGCACGCCTGCACCTCTGGCAGCACTGCCCGAAGAGCACCTCAACCAACACCCCAAACAGCATCCAAAACAGCACCCCAAGCTGCATGCTCCTAGCACTGCCATCACTCGCAGAAGTGCGCCCGCGCCAGCACCCTGAACAGCACCCCCGAACAGCACCCAGACCACCCGGCCGTCAACCTCGCAAAAAGGCACCCAAAACAGTGCCTACACCAGCACCCCAGACTGCATGCCCCTGAGCACCGTCAATCTTGCAAAAGTGCGCCCACCCTGCATGCCCCCCAGCAGCACCTCAAACAGCGCCCCAAACAGCACCCCAAAACTGGACCCCAAAACAGCACCTGCACCATCACCCCAAACTGCACGCGCCCTAGCACCGAGCTGTCAATTTCGCAAATAACTTTCGCTTCTTTATTAGAAGTTAGAACCCCTATAGCATTCAGATATCTGGGGAACTATCTGGGGAAAAAAGAAAGTCGCCTGGTTTCCACACCAAGACGGGGGAATCACTAAGTTTGGACCGCCCAAATCCATGTGGCAATTGTGCGTGGGCCACTGTTGGTGAAGAACAGGGGCTGATTTCTTCCATGTCAACCAAGGGCAGGGTTCCATTTTTTTGACTGCACCAAGACTTAAAGCCAGAGGTTTCCCTTTTGGGCAAATCAAGCACCCCTGGGTTTAAGTCTACCTTGCGGTGGTTCCCCAGAAAGAAGAGACGCCCACCTGGTCGCTGCAAGCCTCGCTAGGCCATGCTGAAGTGGCACGAGTCCTGCTGGAGGCGGGGGCCAACAAGAACAGGGAGGATTGCAACGGAGGGACGGCCCTTCATGATGCTGCTTGGAATGGACATCACGACGCTTGGCCCGAAGTTCACCTTTTCACTTGCTTGCGAGTCGTGGTAGAACAAAATTCTATCATGGTATGGAAAGCTGTTGTGAAGCGTGGTTGGTGCACCCCCGCCACAGAGTGTTCGTTGCCAAGTTAGGGATTTGCAACCTGAGCTGTTACCCTCGTATAGGTCCCTCGAGAAGTCACCCTCGTATACGTCCCTCGAGAAGTCAAGTTGACTGTCGTCTCAGTGCGTTTTAATCCATGCGGCTAATCGCTTATTCACTTGGCCGATCATCCAAGAAGCCGTTTGGTTTTTGAGTATTGATTTGACCATGGTTCCATGCTTGAATTCCGTCTAGATTGCTCACCAGTTTCTTTTGCGCCTGTCGCTTCCGTTTGAGTTGTTCAGTGGAACCCACCGGTTCAAAAGGCACCAAGGGTTCTGAACCAACAGCTGCATCGCACGTTGCTGCCCTTCTTCACATCGCCTGCGCGGCATATGAAGAAAACATGTGGAGCTTGCATCGATCTTTGTGAGGTCTGAGCCCGCCATGCCCAACTCAGAGACGTTCCTCTGTTTTTCCTTTTCGCAGCGGGGGTTGGTGCCTTTGACTCCAACGAATTCCCAAGACACGTCTGGCCGTTTTTTCCCATGGCCGCTGGGAGTCCGATCTCTGGCAAGTACAGGTTTCGTGTTGTGAGCATTGCCACCCGCACGAATCAGCCATGGTTTTCTTCAACCACCGCTGCCTCGTATCAAAGGGAAAACACACAGCCACAGGGAAACCAAAGGGAAACCGTTGGTTCAGGGTTCAAGTTGTCGTTGTGAGGGGAAAAAACGCGGGGGAAACGTCATTTGTGGAGTCTCAGGAAAACCGGGTCTGAGGAATTTGGGGTAATGTTGACCCCATATTAAATCAACCCCAGTGTATGAATAGGGGGGTGTTCCTGGGTGAAATATGGTTGGAATCAGACCACTTTTGGAGGGACACCCCCCTATTAGCAAACTGTCGGCTGATTACCCTCCCACCCTTTTCACATGGAACCTGACGGTCGGGGCTACCTTTAAAGGAAAATGGTTCAAACCCATTCCCTCCTGAAGTGGGGATGATTGCTACGGGGGTCAACATTAAGGAAGTGGTGCAGCTCTTAGTTGAGAAGCGCGCCAACCTGGACAAGCTCAACTTCACGCGTGGGGACTCGCCCTTGCACTGCGCCGCCTACAAGGGCTATTCGAAACTTCGCGGGGAGGAAATGGGTGTCTTTGGAGTAGAAAAAGGGGGGAGCCGACCCCAACACCCGGTGCAGAGCAGAAAATGGACCCCCAAAGCTGGTGGAGAGTTGCACAAATTGACTTTTTGGACCGTAAAAATGGACCCTCAAACCTGGTGGAGAGGCTTTTTGGACCCAAAACCCGGTGGACCCCAAAGGAGAGTAGAACAAGAAGGAGGCTCTTTGGACCCCAAAACCTGGTAGAGTAGAAACAGGAGGCCTCTTTGGACCCCAAAGCCTGGCGGAGAGTGCTTGTAGAAAAGGGGCCACAGGCCGTAAGTTCATTCTGGGTGCTGCTACCCAAGAAAAGTGGGTGAAGAAAGACAAGGCCCCCCTTTCCACCCGGCTATTTGACTTCTATTTTTTAGCGGCCACAAGGGGATGAGTACTTTGTGGATTGTTCCCAGACCTATCTAGTACCCGGTGTCATTTGCGGACTGTGGGCCATTTTGTTCGCGTGTACGGAGCGGTGTTGTGAGTATGACTTGGATGTCCGTGTCGCCTCCATGGCAATTGCGCATGCTTCTGGATCCCTGGCACAATTCCGAGGTCTCCGATCCCAAAACTCTTTGACTTATGGGGTAAGTCTGAAGCAGAGCCATTGTTTGGAGCACCCTCAATGGGCCAAGATGTTTTTGTTTCGGTTCGCTATGGGGTCAGAATCGCTTTGTCAGGTCACCAACTTGGTGGTTTGGATTCGCTTGGGGATTTTTTCAGGGGTTGGTTCTTGAAGGAACACGACCGACACCCCAACCAGTGGGCTCCGAGCCAATCGGAGGGAAGGCTGTGCGCAACACCTTCGAAGCATCGACCTGTTGATTTCTGGGCAACCAGCAGCTTGAGCCTTGACCCCTGGCCAAAAAGCGAAGCCCTCACGGGAATCGGTCCCCCTAAGATGGCAACGGTTTTTTTTTCATGTGGAGAAACTCCCAGATGAGCCACCAAACTCCGGTGCTACAGAAAGTTGCCATTGGTGCGTGTCTTTTTCATGGGTTGTTTGGCGCTGTTTGGCTAAACCCACTTTGGGCTGTTGGGTGACTCGAAAACTGTGTGGTGTTCCTTTGTCCTCGCTCAATCCAGAAACAGGGTCCCATCCGAAGCAACTCGCCATGTCCGGGGTCCAAAAATTGTACTTTGGATGTGGCGCAGGTGCGTGTGTGCCATGATCAAACCTCCTAGGACCTCGGTGGAGCTCTGGCCTAAACTTGGAGGGCCATAGATGCTGTGAGGAGACAGACGGTCGTAATTCGCAGGACGGAGGGAAATTCGGGGAATATGTGGAGGGGGCATGGTGGCCCCCGTCTTCCGCATTTTGACCTCTAATCCAAGCAAGCTGAATCAAAACATCGGGCAACCCTTCCGTTTGGCTCATGGACATCCTCTCGAAGCCCGAAGCTTGCATCCCAGGAAGGTGGTGCATCTGCTCTTGCAAGGGAAAGCCGACACGGGCAAGAACAACTTCCTGGGTGAAGCACCGCTGCACTCCGCGGCCATCCGGAACCAACACGAGATCGTCCGTGGCTCGGTGAGATGTTCACTCACTGAACAAAGGTGTCCGTTTTGCGTTTGGTTTGGTTGGACATATACGGATCGTACAGAGTACAGATGCCCTGGTTTCAGTTTGTTTCTGATTATTTACCAGCTGCCATTTATGTTTACAGAGGGGCACCTATGCTCATGACGCCCCCCGTTCAATGGAGTTAACCGCCTGTTAGTGGCAACATGGTGGTTGGATATATCCACATTTGCGTTAATGCCCTGTAGGTGTGCCTTGTTAAAACCACCCAGGAACGGGTACCCTCGCAGAAGACAAACCCTTGCGGTTGGATATTCCCGCTTCATTTGCGTATTTAGAGAATCTTCCCCTACGGTGTGGGGTAGGCATAGATTCCTCTTGAAGTTGTCGCAGGCACTGAGGGGGTTTGTGACCAGGCGTTCGTTGCCAAGTGAGTAAGTTCTTAGTATCCTGGCTTATGCGTAGTTGTCACCCTTATAAGTTGAGTTAGCCCCTTAGGTGGAGGTCGCCTTGTTATTCGTTTTTGGGATACAATCTAAATGGCCAACCACTTGCCGACTTGGCCGAGCATCCAACATATGTTTTGTTGTTGTTGTTTTTTTGTTTTTTTGTTTTTTGCGGTAGAACGCTTTTTGGGCAGGAACCCACAGAAGAATAAAAACGGGAAAAATAATTTTCCCACACTTTGAGACAACGGGTCATAAACATATGTATATATATATGGAGAGAGAGAGAGAGATGTGCCGGCTAGAAGCAAGGCCCAAAATCTGAATGGTGTTGTTTTGTTTGTTTGTAAATCACAGCTAGTCATGGTTATGGGATTAAGCTATTAGCAATCATTTAGCCCCGTAAATGACCTGAGGGCCTTTGTTCCTTTTGTTTTCTGAATGTTTTTGTTTTGTTCCGGGTGTTCTCTCTGAAATCGACCAAACACATGATGCTCAGTTTTTCCCATTTTGTCGATGGGTTTTGGTAGGATCTGAGGTCAGCTGGTGGAGGGGGGTGCTGACAAGGACAAGGCCAACGGCCGTGGTGAGACGCCCCTGCACCTCGCCATCGGACAACGGCTTCCGGATCCGGTCCGCGCATTGCTGAAAGCCAGAGCTGACCAGGAGACGTATCTCAGTTGTTCAGTGGCACCCATTTTCCCCTTTTTTTTGGTGGCCGCCCCACTCAAAATGGTCCAAGCCCAAAAAAGGGTTCCCTTTTTTTCCAGGGCCACTGAACAACTGAGGTATGGGTCAAAGTGAAACCACCAGGATATGGACCGCGGGGTTTGGTCCTTTCCATTCGCAAGGGTTCCATTTTGGGCACCTATGTTTGACCCGCTGCAATGCGGAAAACTGTTTACGGCTTTTTGGTTTCTTCATGTTTAAAAAACAATAAAAAATGTTTGTTTGTTTTTGGTTGTCCTCCATGTTCAACTTGTAACGCCCTGTTAACAGTTTTCCCCGCCAAAAGCGGGGCTTGCGCGGATCGATCAGGAGAAGGCCAGTCGACGTGGGGATACGCCCTTGAGCCTCGCGGCCGGTGTGGGGGATCCGACGATTGTGCGGCTCTTGTTGCAGGCGGGCGCCGACAAAGACCTTCCGAGCCTTTGGCTCAACCAGCCTGTTTCTTTGCCGGTGTGCCTTTTGCATGGTTGTTGTTGGGAAACTGAAGATAAGCCAAAAGGGGTCCTGTGATTTTGCGAGGCCCCCAGTTGCAGCTGTGTTTTCTGAAAAGCAAGCAACCTGGACAGTCGGGGAAAAAGAAAAGCAATAGGTAATCTGGGAATGCCGGTCCAACCATTGATCAATGGATCCGAATGTAGGGATTCGGTGGTAGGATTATTCAAGCATTTTTTTTCTTTAGTGGACCCCCATCATCAGCATCATCATCATCGACATCATCATCAGCATCATCGCCGTCGCAGTCACAATAGACATCGCTGGAGATGCAGGGGATGCTATGATGATTGTCATCATGGCACGGATGATCATCATCTTCTTCTTCAGCATTTTGTATTCCTCAGCAGTCATCAACGTGACAGTTACAAACAGCAACACCCGTGGGGGGTTTGCCTTGAAAACCAAAAAGCGAAAAGTAGTTGAAGTTGCTTTTTCTCCCCAACAGCTGACAGCCATGGTGTTTTTGTTCAGATGGGTTTTGGGGTGGTTTGGGGCAGCTTCAGGGGGGGTTCCGGAGGGTTCCAAGGGTGCCACTAGGGTCTGTTGCGGATGCCACTTGGGCGAATTTAACCAACCCAAGATGATCTGGATAGTTTTTTTCCCTTTCCGGGGCCATCAAGTGAAGCCACAAAGGCCGAAGCCTCTTCTGACCCTGCAAAACAATCCAAGGAGCCAAAGCATACCTGGACCCTCCAAACCCCGTTAAACATTGATTATTGCCCCAAATTGGTTGGCTGAACTCGCATTTTTGTGAGTAGTTTTAGGGTCCAGGTGCACTCATAGCAACGTCACTTGTTTGTTCAGCATGCTGGACAAAGAAAACGCGTTTCTTCTGATTTACCCACCAGAACCGTTTCGCAAACAATTCATCGTACGACCTTTCAGGGCAACCATCCCCTGCATGTACCCCAAATGACGAAACAATGCGATCCTTTTGTTCTGATTTGTGGTGATTAAAAAAGTTTCTGGCTCTAAACCGTTGTTCAAATTGGCTGCTTTGGTCCCGGGCACTGTCGCTCCCCCTAGTTGTTCAGTGCTGCCCCACTAAAAATGGTCTTCCCCAAAAGGGTTCCCTTTTCTTCCAGGGTCACTGAACAACTGAGGTATGGGTCAAAGTGAAACCACCATGGACCGCAGGGTTTGGTCCTTGGGCAAGCCATTTTGGTCTTGGGCACTTCCACTCCCAGGAACAAGGAGAGCATGACGCCTTTGCACGTGGCGGCGGCTTGCGGCAGTGAGCAGGTCACCCAAATTCTGCTGGACGCCAAGGCCGAACAGGAGCCATTCGGCCGACATGCGACCTGTCGGGTCATTGGAGGTAACTCGGTGTGCCGTTTGTGGGTCCGTGCTTCTTTTTTGTTGGAGTTGGGTATGGGTCAAAATTAAGCCACCAGGAATTGGACCGCAGGTTTTGGTCTTTGGTTCCACATTTGGGGTACCTATTCTTGACCCACAGCCAGCTGACTCGACGAAAACCAAAAGGACAATCACTATATCTTGGAGGGCTACAAAAGACGCACCTTATCGCCAACTGTTCTGGTTTGTTTCCCAGGGCAATCTACTTAGCAAACCCAATACAGACAGCACGCATTTGGAGATGTCAACCTGCAAATGGGCGGGAAATCTGCAAATCCTGGTCTATAAACTGTCCAAAGTATGTCCTGATCATAAGATCATATAATAATAAGAACAATAATAATAATGTGTGTGTAATCATTAAGCTCAAAAAGGCATGAATCAGTTGGATTGGGCAGGTCGAAGAGGGTTGGGGGTTGATGGACAACCACAGGTTGGTCCAAAACCAAAAGTCAGGCTTGGCAATTGAAGCGTTGAAGAAAAACACACATTTTAAGGGTTCTCAGAGACAAACCTTGGACCCGAGCGTTCTGAGCATCTTGTCAATTTCGGATGGAGGGAATCCGCCCCCGTTCAGCGGGTGATTCCCTTCACGTTGGAGGGATTCTTGATTCCTCTGATTGATATAGTCCGAAGAAAATCGAAGTTGACATAGGCCAGGTTTGGTTAGCCACTTGGATTGCCCACTAATGACCGGGTAAACCCTGCTCAACGGAATGTGTGGATGACCCAAGTCGGCCTTCAAGGATCCCCCTATGAGCCTCAGTCAGGAAAATAGAAGCCAGGTGGAGCCAATGAACCCAGCGAACGAGCAAATAATTCTTGAGCCCCTGGGCACTCGAAATTCCCTGAAATTGGGTTATTGCCCCCGAAAGGTATGGGGTGAATTCCCTTCACGGGTAGTTTGAGGAGGGTCCCCAGTTAAGATTCAGGCCCATGTTTTCCACCACAAGGCTGCCTCTTTTTTCAGTTGCTCAGTGGCACCAATTCTTTTCCACTTTGTTTTGGTGGCTGCCCCACTAAAAATTGTCCAAGCCCCAAAAAGGGTTTCCTTTTTTTCTCCAGGGTCACTCAACAACTGAGTTTAGCAAGGCTTTTTTTCTTTTGCAGGACAAGCGCAACCGGTCCGGGCAAACGCCGCTTCACTTCGCTGCATTGACGGGGTTCGGGCCCCCCATCCAGAGCTTGCTGGACGCTGGCGCGGACCGACACGTGGCGGTTTTTACGCGCCGCACTTTGGTTCTTCCATTGTCTTAAGAAATTGTTTCTTGGTGGCTCCCAGCCATCCAGTTCCTTAGCTTTTTAGATCCTTCTAGTGTTTAGTGGTGGTTTCCATTTAACCCACTAAAAGCTAAACGTTTAGCGGGGGATCTGAGGGCAGCCCAGGTTGTTACATTTTCCCCTGTTGGCTTCAAAGGGAATCTATCATTGTTAGAAATATGTATGTTTTCTTCCAGAGGGCTTTAGCAACTGGAAGTGTTCTGGGTCGATTTGGGGGTGTCGTTTTTAAAGGGTACCCCTTTTGGGTTGGTTTGAAAGGGAAACCGAAAGGAAACCAGCCATTTTGGAGGCTCGCCTAGTTTAGGACAAGCCCGTTTGGCTATGAAATTAAAAGTTGGAACCACCTCAAAAGTGTTTGGTGGACATACTGTAAATCCTGCCAAAATAATGTTTACCAAAGGGTCCCTATCAAATTTCACTCCCATTTGGGCGTTGTCTTAAAATAGGAGACTGGGGTCTCTCTAATTCCCCAAAAGGGTGCCTCCAAAAAGTCACTCCCATTTTAGATTCTCCCCCTTTGTGGATTCAGGGGCAGGGGCTAGTCAATTCACGCGCGGGGATGGGGCATTTTTGGGGGATGCTGTCCAGTCAGGGTGCCAGGGAACCATTTCTGTATCGCCGAACCCGCTGGGTTCCATTGTTTTTTGCTCCTTGGGGAGTCTCCTGAAAAAAATCCGGTTGATGAATTATTGTTGATCATGTTGAGAAGGCATCGCCCTGTTTGGGTTTGCATAAATCGGGTGGGCGGTTCCCCAAGGCAAATCCGAACCTGCACCGCACCCTTCCCACACCGGCACCCCATATTTTTCAACGCCTCTCCAGACGCTGGTTGGTCACGCCTCTTGGTTTTGGCTTGCCACTTTCTGCGAGGGACTCCAAGTGATGCAGGGATGGGAATCAACCACTTTGGTATCACAGATTGGCTTTCCATAGATCTGGGATTGGTTAGGCAAGCATCTTGCTCTGGGAGTACATCTATATGTTTGAACAACGATACATCGACGAAAGCTGCCGGGCTTGCGGCCCATAGTGAAGGTTCCTTTCAGCTGGTGAATTTATATTATTTGCCAATCTCTGTTTTGAGGCTGAGCCACCTGTTCGGGCTTTTCGAGGAGCAGCCACATGCCATATGCAACATGTTGAGACTGCACATATTTGCGTCCCCCCTCCCCCACCCCCGCCGGCTTGTCATTTTCGCGGTTTCCATAGGGGGGAATCCGGGAAACCATTAGGGCTTCCAAAAAACGAGAGGCTGCACCTATTTTAAGCAAAAGCAAATCAGAACAACCTCAGAGAACAACCTCATGTTTGTTTTGCGTGGTTGGAGGCTGCTTCCCCATCATTCTGTGCTTCCCCTTCCTTCAACCTCATGATTTGGGTATGATTCAAATTTCACCGCCAGGGAACTGCAGGTTTAGCCCACGTTTTCATTTACCAGGGTTCCATGTTAGGTACCTAGTTTGACCCACAGCGATTTATGTCGGTTTTCATTTTGGAGGCTGCCGTCCCACCCCAGCTTGCTCAGGAAACGTGTTGGATTGCGAGGGGTACATTGCCGTGGATTTGGCCGCCAAACGCGGGAACGAAGAAGCGGTGAACATCTTGTTGAAAGATTGGAAGGCGACCCGTGAGAGCCTCGGCTATGCCAGCTACGGCTGATGAAGACGTCGAGAGCAGGGAGCAGCCCCCCCGCCCCCCCCCCCGCAATCATCCCTCCCCCCTCCCCGCACAGGGGAAGGCGCGGGGGAACAAAAACAAAACCATGCACAGACCGGTAAGCCAACGCCAACCCAATGCCAGCCCGAAACCGGAAAAAGCACTCTTAAGCCCGGCCTGGAACCCGAAACCCACCCCCAAGCCTAAACCGAGCCTAAACTAACCCCAGACCAACCCTACACCACAAGCATCCACAAGCCAACTTTAGGACCAATCGCCATCGGGGAGTTGATGCTCCTGACCATTCGGCCATTGACCAACCATATTATGGGCAGATTCTAACAAGCTCACATGGAGGTAGAAGGAGTTTGTGACTGATCGCCCAGATATGGCGAATGCTTCTCACTTGGAATTATTAGATGCGAATTCGGCAGATTCGCATTCCTGTGCTTTTGAACGTGAGCCCAATTCGGCTCAGATTCGTGGCTGGTCAAGCCGTTCCTTCGGTGACAAATCCTGAGGATTCTCAAGCATTCCCATGCTCGAAAATTCGGGGTCGACTCCCCTCCAAAGGAATGCTTGGCAATCCTGGGTTTCACATGTTTGAACAACTAGAAGCTTCACTTGGCGCAAGATTTATCATTGTCTCTGCCCCAAGTCAGCCAGGGCTCAGACAGTCCCTGGCAATGGCGACAATGTCACGACCACAGTCTATGAACGTGCGAGCAGAGAACAAAGTGGTGTCGTTTGAGCCCAACCAAATCAAATCATCCACATGTGCGTGAGGCCAACACCCCAAAAGCGCCAAAACCCCTGTTGACCAGATTAGGTAAGGGGGTTGATCCCGGCCTGGGTTCTTCAAGATCAATCCTTTGAACAAACTGAGGCCAGATGGTAATGGATTGCGGATTAGCATTGGGGATCCCACCCATGTTTGTATGCTGAGGCCTGCTGTACGTGTAGAAATATACATGCACAAAACATCATGGATATTTATGCAGAAGTCAGAAACATGAATTTGCTTTATTTTGTGTTTGCTGTTGAATTGTCCGATGGCACGTCATCAGGCATACCAATGAACATGGTGTGAATCGCATGTAGTACAACCCTTGTAATACAGTAAGGTGTGAAGCGACCAGTGCTGGGATTATGTTCGCTTACACTACCCCTCCAAATCCCTGTCCAAATTATTGGGGAACCCTGCGGCGACACTTCAGAAGCCAGAACAAGGCTGATTTGGTCTTCCACTTTTAACCTTTTTACTTTGGGGAGATGATTGCTTCTCCTTGCCTCGTATCAACAAATATTGGGTGTGTTTTTACGGGGACCCCCCCAAATCCTTGCTTTCCTGTTTGTGTTCCTTTCAACCCACCCAAACAAATATATTTTATCGCCCAATTGTTTGCATTTGCATGTTTTGGTTTCGGTGATGATGTGCAAAACAACAACAGGCAGGCACCATCCTTTGTGTCACCACCGCATGTTTGCCTGGTCCAATTTTCCCAGAAGAGGAGTCTTTTTTTGGGCGGGTCTCTGTTTAGGTTCCCGAGAAATCTACAGATGATAGCTTGAGTTGGGCAAAAGGCTGACCTAGCTTAAACTTGCAACATGTTGAAACCGTTGATTCATAGACCGTCCAACGAACATGTGACCAGCCAGTCAATATTAGGTATCCGAAATGAACCCCTGGCAAATGGAAACATGGATTAAAACCTGTGGTCCATATCTAATATCCTGGCGGTGTAATTTTGACCCATACCCATGGCCAGCGGTTTCAACATGTCTCCCGGGCCGGAGGTTTTTCGGACGATGGACTGACCTCGAAGAGCCATGTCCAAGCGTCCAAGCCACAAGGAGAGTGGAGGTGTTTTATTGTGACATGGTTGTTGTTGGAGACATTTGACATTTTGGCTTATTGTGGTGTATTTGTTGAAATCCAGCCGCTGAACTGCTAAAGCTTAAAATGTTTGCTCCCCTTCCAACGTCAACCAACTGGGTGAAGAATTGACACAAGGTGATTTATCATGTCTAGGTCCCCCAGCTAGGTGCCCTTTCTCACCCCGTTTTTGGTTGGGAGGAATTAAAATAGACATAAAAAAGGGTGCCCTTATTCAAACCTCTCTGGAGGACCTGGATAAAGGTTCCTTGTTTGTTTTTTCTTATTTCCGACTTTCTAGTCATTTGCCGTTTCTTCCCCCCCCCCCCCCCGAGATTGTTTCTTTAAGCTGCTTCCGCAGGAGGGCGCCGCAGGCGCCAGAGCGACGTGAATGGAAGTTGGTTTGTTGGGATGCCTAAGTGAATTCCCTTAAGGCAGGTGCAGAAGCAAGGCACCTGCCAAAAGGTTGAAAAAGAAGTAAGAGGTGCTCCTTTCAACCAAACCTTGACTTTTCCCACATGTCATGTGCCCCCTTTGAAGGTGGAGTCGAGGGTGACTCCTGATGTTCCTCTGGCAAAGGCAAAAGCTAAATGGCATGTTGTTTTTTGCTTTGCCCCTCTTTCCCTTCAGGTAGGGCAGGTAGGGGGGGATAATGTTGGATTTCAAGTTATGAAGCGGTGGGAATCAACCACTTTGGTATCACGAGGCTTTTCGATGCCAAGTCCGGAATAGCCTACCATGCTCCTTCCTCTTTGTGCGGGGCCTAGAGGGTTTCATGTGGGAAAACATCATGGAATGGGACCAACACGTGGGCGCCACCGAAACTTCACAGGCCGCAGAGATGCATGTATTTTTGCTCCCGGACGAAGAGTGCACAAACTCGCCGTTCCTGGACTTACTTTCCGGGTTTGAACTATTTTGGTGGCAAACAAAAAGTGTGATTCTTCTTGTTTGGCCAATCCACTTGATCAGAAGGGAGAAGACCCGCGCTTTTGTTTCTCTTGTCCTGGCACCGTTGGGCCAATTTGCTGAGCCTTGAGACCGGACAGTCGCTGGCTCTGCAGCTGAAGAAAGGGCCAACCACACTAACAGGCCACGGTGGCCAGGCGAAACCTGCCGCTACTACAAATAATATGTTTGGGTTTTCCATGGTAAATACCGCCTTTGTTTGTAGCGGGTCGACATGATACCCTAAAAACCAACGGATATTTGGAGGGGCATGGCTTGCGCAGATCAGTTGCGACCAGGATCTCGGAACCCGAATCTGGCCACCCCTCTCCTGGACTCTCTGAGAACCTCCTCTGGGGACTGAAGCAGTTTCTCCAAGTTCGAGGGGACCGACTCCGCGGACTGAAGTTACTTAAGCCTAAAGGAAAGAGCTCTGAACATAGGCTGAGATGAACCAACACGTGGTATTTGACATCTCTTGGGCGGTATGGTTTCAAACCTCTCAGCCTTGGTTGTTGTTGGGAAACAGTCTTGACATTTTTGCTTATTGTGGTTTAGTGGTTTAAATCCAGCCACTCAACTGCAAATTTGATTTAACAAAAAAAAAATGCTCCCCTTCCAACGTCAACCAAGCAGCAAGGACATAGCTTGAACCCTTCGAAGTGTCTGGTTCAGGGCTCCACTTAGGCCCGAAAAATGAACGCCACACCAGGGCTGCTTGCGGAGGGCGTGCTCAGGCGCGGAAGAAGGCTTCGTATGCCATAGTTCCCCCGTGTTTTTAGGGCTGTTGAAATGGCCGTGGGTCAACACCAATGGGATCTTATTTTGGGGTTTTCGGTGAATTCACCACCCATTGTAGAACCTATTTTAGTGGGGATTGAATCGGATGTTCATTGGGGGTACGGTGTTTTTTGTGAGGGTACTCTCTGTTTTTTGTGGTTTCACTGGGAGACCACGAGGACAGCCATGGGGTTCCTTTTTGGAGACACACCCACATCTCCGATGTGTCTTACGAGCTTTTTGGCCTTTGGAAGCGAACAATTCCTTCGGGGTGATGTTGGGGGACATCTAAGGAACCCTGTTTGTTTGTTGTTGTTTTTGGTGGGGAAAACGAAGTGATGAGAGGAACCCTTTTTTATTTCGTTTTTCCTTTTTTGTTTTTTTTTTTTTGTTTTTCGATTTTTATTTTTTTTTATTGTGGGGGAAACGAAGTGATGGGACTAGCATGTGCGTCCTGCTACTGCTTGCCGAGCTCTCTGAGGGCGGCCGCACCAAAGAGCAGGTGCAAATATCAAAGCCGAGAAGCCCCCGATTCATGGTCGTTGTTGGGAACAAGTTTTTGCATGTTTGCTTCCTGTGGTTTAGTGGTTGAAATGCAACCACTTAACTGCTAAAATTTAAATGTTTGCTCCCCTTCCAACGTCAACCAAGTATTAGTAAACTGGGGGTTAACATTATGCAGGTGAAGAAGTGCTAGCGTGGTGGACTGTAGGTGACACCCAGATCTGCCTATTGGATGGCGAGCGATTCCACGTATTCGGGGTAGAACGACATCACTATGTAGCATGCATCGTACTTGCCATTAATCAATAGTTTCCAACATCGCCTGGGTTCGATTTAGAGGGGCGTTGCTTTCTTCATCGCCTGGGCCCGATTTATAGGCGGTGCTTTCTTCAGGAGGGATGCTTTTCAGGGGCAACCATGGAAAACGTTTGAGAAGATAAGTTCATGTGTGGCTTGGAGCCCCAAGTCTTCCATTCAATGGACCCTCAATGTCCCACTTGGGTGTTGGTAGGTTGCAACTTCGTAGTCGCTCGAAGTGGAGTTGACCCTATTTGTGGATGATCCCAAGTGGCATGCCTCTTACTTGCCCAAAGATCCATGCAGTTTCGGACCTCGCAATGAATATTAGCTATTGGTGAACGAGAACGTGTTTGATTCAAGGAATCCTTTGACCCTTTGGCGGTTCCAACGAAAATGCCTACCCTGAACCCTCCAATGCAGACCCCCGGACCCTCCAAAGGAGAGCGCCGACCCCTCAAGGGCCCCAAAAACGACAACCCATTTGGAGGGCCCGAAAACAGTCTGGACCCTTACATTACCTCAAAATGGGGATGTGGACCTGCAAAAACAGACGTTGGTTAGGGACGCCAGCCTTTCGAAGGGTGGCTCCCCACCGTCCCCTTGTTCAGGGGCAGTTTCCATTCAAACCGCAAGATCAACTTTTGGCATGGGATCTGAGGGCAAGCCCAGGTGTGTAAGGCCACTGGAGGTTGATGTCGCGAAACCAAGAACTCCTGGGCCAAGGGCCCCTGCGCCATTTCTCCTCTCCGGGGCCTTGGTGTTTTTGAGGCTGCCCTTAGGGTTGGTTCAAAGGGACGCCGAAGGGGAAGCCCCAGGCCCGGCCGTATGCTGTCAATAGGAAACGTTTCTACGGGAAAGCCGCGGCATCATGGTTGTTGCTGGGACACAGTCTTCACATGTTTGCTTCTTGTGGTTTATTATAGTGGTTGAAATCCAGCCACTTCACTGCTAAAAAGTTTTAGATGTTGGCCCTTACGTCAACCAAGACATGGGACCGGGCCCCTGTCAAGTGTGCAGCCCACGCTTGTCACCCTCACCCTCGCCCCCTCAAGCGGTTTCCAGGGCTCACAAGCGCGGGAAGTACAACATGGAGCTCACAGACGGCGCCGCGGTTTTCGGTCGGTTTCCGTGGGATCCGGAGGTGAGGTTGCATACCACGTATGTAAGTTGTGACGGCATTACTGTGGATGGACGAAATCCTGCACCTAAGAAACCCTGGAAGGATGATTCCCGCCACAAGTACCAACAAGCAATGGTGTCCCATGGTTTCAAAGTAGTGCGAACGGATTTGGTCCATCCACAGTAATGTTAACCCCGGATTAATAA